TCACTCTTTTTACCGTATTTGGGGCAATACTTTCCATACCCTGAGTCAATACATCACATTCACTTAAAGGAAAATGACAATTATTTCTCTCTGCATTATCAGAAATTTCAAGTGACTTTATCCAGTTAAGTGCAAGGTCCCAATTAGGGTCTGCATGGCTTGCTTTTATGCAATGTGGATCATGTGCCGCAAGTTTCAAAACATTACATCCTAAAAGGACTGGACATCTCTCTCTTCGATTCATAGGGTTACAATCTCCTGCACGTGACACAACAAAACTGGCTGAGAGCTTACGACCAAGAATATCCACTTGAGCTTCTAGATAGCCGTCTACAGGTATTTCAAGATTATTTGCACCTACCAATCTGAAAAATCCACCAACCTCATCCAGTTTTCCGACATTTTTGGCTCAGTGTTTATTATAAAAGTCCCAGGAAATTAGGGAAGTCTCGGCACCTGTGTCAATGACACATTTCGCAGGGACTCCACTAATAAAAATCTCAGCAGTAGGACTGCGCTCAAAAAGTTTGCGCCTGTCAGATTCAGTAAACACCCTATCAGCCACCACAGGATGGATGATGGGCCCTCCGACATACCGCCCTCTATGACGGAGGTGTCAAGTTTTCCAAAGTGTGCACCTCAGCTACTAGACCCCGAGCACCAGGTTCAGCATCAGCTTTTGTACTGTCACTACCCTTCTTGAGATCATTCTCCCGCTTATAATAACTTTCACTAGTATGTCCTCTTCTCTTACAGTAGCTGCACTGTGTCTGGTTCTTTCTTTTCTAAAAATTGCTTTGAGAAGCACCACTTGCCTTTTGGTTAGCTACGACTTCCGATAACTTCTGAATAAGGGTATTGGTTTCAGTCTGCTGCTATACAATACTGTGGCGGGACAACTGACACCTTTTTGTGGCGGACCAGCAACTGGCCTGATCGGAGATAGAATTGACCTGGCCTAACCCCACAAATATATTTATTTAACCTTACGCAAGAATGAGCGGCTATCCAAACGCAAGGGGGGATATCAGTTAACGAACGGTGGACTATGCCTTAGGGGCTGTTCGTTTGGTGGAAGTTTACCACCGCTCACATATGGACATTTACATGGCAGAAGTAGGGCCTACAGCTACATGATTAAAGGAACAATCAGAAATGGAGACAGCACATACATCAAACACTAGGTTGTAAAATTAGTTCGACCTCACTTTCAAATGCAGATGTTACAATCACTAAAGTGCCAACACTTGCATAAATGACTTGTCCTCGCTAGGCTCCAGGCGTTGGGTGTCTTGTGCTGCTTACAGGCTGGCTCTTCATCCGAGTCCATCTCCGAGTCGCAATCCTGTCTACGACGCCACTTGTGATGGTCGCTACTTGCGTAGCCCCAGGGTTTTGTTGAAGTGTAAACCCCAACAGATGGGAAGTGAATCCCGGTTCGGACCACTTCTAATAGGAGACACAACTCGAACTTGACCAGCAAACAGCAATCCGGTTTATTCACTCAACATTTATAAATAGACACCCTGTATAATAAAATCCAACAGTACAAAATATACTTGGGTTCACACATACGGTTCATGTGTAAAATACATGTACATTGCCTGCGTGCACTTAATGCACGTTGACCTCAATTTCAAACAAACAGAGTCAAGCTTTTGGCAAAAAAAAATCATGCAAAAACAACACTTATAATCACTAAATTACACTTGCCCAGTCCTGGGTAGTTACACTAGCTGGCACTTAACAAACTGTTCGAAGTCTTTCTGAAGATGCTTTAATTATGCAAGATAGAATGATGGAACGATGGAACCGTTCAGCCAGGCTGTGTGAGATAGCTAATGTGCGCAGGAAAATGCGCTTGACACGTGAAGGCGAAGTGCAGTTCCGACCAAAGGAGCCTCCGTTGCTAGGAAAATTGAGCCCTCTCTTGGTCCCGCTCGGGGTCCATAGCATAAGCATGATTTCATCGTCCCAGTATGGCCTGTTACCGGTGTCTTCTAGTCCCACAAATAGGGCTATAGTGGCTCTCTTTTACAATCTGTCTCTTATCTGTCGCCCCCACAGCCCTACTTCAAGGCATGTCTTAAATGCCTGAAATCCAAACTGCAGGATTGTAACAAACTTTGAATCCGAATATCTTCTGAAAAGAAAATCCTATTCGATATGCGCAGCTGAATACTGTTTCGATTGAGAGTGTACTTTCATCAGAATTTTCAGACAGTGCCTTTTTAACATTTTTTATTTGTAGATCTCAATTACTTCAAGATTGTTTATTCTCTTTTATTTGATTACTTTACTTTATTTTTTTGTAATAATATTTTGTAGAAATGAGAATAAATCAAATAAAATCAAGCCGTTTACTTACTTCCCTCGATAAGGCAAAATGAACTCCAGCAGGTATTCCATTTATTTCATGAAGACGTAATTGGCAAACTGTAAAGTCAACAATTTATTTCAGAATATGACTGGCTTTTAAATTGGGGTACGAAACCAACATACATAAAATAAAAAAAGCACGCATAAAAATGCTTGTACAAATCATTGAAACCTTCGTTTATTCTTTATTGAACCCTAAATCAACAACAAAAATTGTTTTGATACCGCACCAGTACAGCAGAGCAAACAGTGCAAACATTTATGCAAACAAGCCGAAGATGGCGCTATGCACAAGTAGTGCCCTCCTTAAGATATTGCTCCCGTTTTTGACCGGTGAATTTTCCGGTTTAAATTTTTAACCTAGTTTTCTGTATTTGGAGATGATGTTCAAACATGTTTGATATAGTTTTAGGAATTTGGACCCTTCATTGTCCGATATCTACTGATGTCTGAGTCAAATATGGTTTTAAACCACAGTGTAATGTGCACGTTACGAACCGTAGTTCTACGTGCTTCCTTTTCTGTCCACCTTAAATGGTTGCCTCTATGGTCGAGTTCGGGCAGCCTGCTCTTGACACGGGTTTCTTCTTCTCGCGCTCGAACGGTGGGAACACGACTCAGGGACACTGTTCTCGGAACAGCTAGGATCACACACCACCTCCTCGTCAGGGTTTTACAAGAACACACGGAAAAAATCGTGAGATTTTGATTTTAAACAGCTGCAAACATGTCAAACTAAAGTACAATGTAGAGTGTTGGCTTACAAAGCCAGAGACAAATAGGAAATTTTGAAAAAGTATCATTAATTATTCTTCATAACACAGAAATGAATGTTCTGTTTAATCAAAGACGAAAGAATTCAGTCCAGTTCTCCAAACATGAACTCTCGAATAACGTAATGACGGGATGCCGCCATGTTGCATGTCACTAACTACCCGCCAGCGATAATCTGTTGTACCCTCCAAGCGTTCGAGCGGCTGAACCATGAATAACAAATCGAGCGGTTCGTGAACATACGAGAACAAGCGAACTCAGCCTTGGAGGTGCAGCTCTCGAATTTTCTTGTTTTATTATTGTGACGTCTCGTCCCTCCTGCGGCGGCAGTCTGAATGAGGGCGCCCTCGTCCGTCGGACGGCACCATAGGCATAAGCTTACGGAGTGGTACAGTTTAGACGTAGACACTAAAAATAATACATTTTAAATTACAATGTAAATTTCCCATTTTAATACATTTTTAATCGAATTTAGATGCACAGATATACAACGGTTTTTACGCAACTGCTACACAAATACAATGCAATATATATAAAATAAATACAATATTGGCATTTTGTTGAACCAGTAACAGGCTTTATGAAGTCTAAGGGGATGACGCATCTGCTGCACCTTGCAGGCAGCAATGCCGGAAATTAATATTTTACAGTCTATTGAAGCCGCTTCGGTCTCATTGTTGCAGTTACAAAGGCAGGATACATAGGCATTTACTCATTCTTCGATTTGAGAACTCGGCATCTTGAAATTACTTTGCGGGCCAGGCGGGTAATTTCTAAAACAAGTCCAGAGAACTAGTCATGGAATTAGAAACTTGTTGCAGTTTTCCTATCGATTTCACAAATAGATCTTTGGGATTTGAGCAGTTAAGTTCTTTTTAAAATGTTTAATGACATTAAATCCCAAAACAGTCCAACCTTATCACCTGTGCGGTGCTATCCGTAGTTCTTTACACAGAATGTAAAAAAGAAAATCTGAAACTTAACATTTCTGTTTAGGGTTACTCGTGAACTTTGAAATCGACAAGCATGTATGAAGACTCAGTCCAGATCCGATACAGATACTAGATGCAGTGATGAAGTTAAGCCCTTGGGCCCATTCCAATTTACCCCCAACTACTGCATACCTCGGGCACTATCCTTAACTGAATGATTGCAACGATTGCTTGAAGTTTACAGCGCTCTGGTTCGCAAAGTGTTTGACATTGTCTGAAAGTTGAAATTTTGGGGGGGGACCACAAAAATAGAGTGTCATTTTATATATTTGGGGGTGGGGGTCCGTCAGTCAGTCACACACACATTTGTTTCCTCCCGTGGCAGAAATAATAATAATAAGACAAGTCTAAAAGACATGTATATGTCAGAAGAGGTGGCAACACCTGAGAAGCAAAGCTTGTGTTAGGCATGCCCTTACATGCCCTTACAAAACATACATACATATTACTATAAGAAACAACAAATAATTGTAGCTCTAAGCAATTATAGAGTAATTATTGAAGATGGACTATGAAAAAGTTAAGTTAATTTCCACGGCTACGAATATGATCAGAAGTAGTCATTGTGACAATGATAATAATAATAATAATACAGCATTTATAAGGCGCCTGTATCTGGTGACCATTCAAAGGCGCCGGTCTGATGAAAGAGCCTCAGTCTCAAGAAGGAAAAGCTAGGACATAAAGGTGGGTACAATGATATTGTAACATTGTGACGATGGGGTGGGGGTCACAAATTGCGTACAAGTTCAGCGTCATTTTTTGTTAAGTTTATTTTTCGTTGTTCCTTTTTTGTCAGGATCGCAAAGTAAGCAGGTAAGGGTTGATTATTGACCAGAATTTAAAACCACTGAATTAAAAAGGAGACGCCCTAAAGTGGCGTGCCGCCATCGGCCATCGTAGTCTCATTGATACGGCAAGTGGGCTGTGGAAATAGCGTCTTAACGGCACCAGCACGGCGCATAGCGTACGTACATGTACGTGTACATTGTACATGTACTGTGCATGACATGACCCACGAAGGCGGGTGTGTAGTACTGAACAGAGTCAAATAAACTGGGCCAGCTGTGAACGAGCGCGAGCCCGACCGATCCTTAATGCTTTGTAGCTTTTAGTATGACAAGAGGCATTTGTCACGCGGGAAAATGAAGTGGGCATTCAAGGAAGAACACACGCTTGGTGAGTCGCTTTTAAAACCTTTTCGACGTTTGCAATGCATTGCGGGTTTGGATGACATACATGTACATGCAATGCATTTTATGCACAACCCCATGGGAGAGGTATACCTGCCAAACGTTAATCTGCTTCCATTTTATTTCATACTCCAATTCAAGCCACCCCCTTCTGACAAAGTGTTGAATTATTGATTTGGGACGAAGAAATTCACAAACTTCGAAGTTTAACGCTCGGCAGAGAAGGAAAATTCGGAGAATTCCTTCCAACAACACCACTTTTTGTCACTGACTGTGCTTTTACTAATTCGTGAATATTAATGTTCTAGTATTGTCCAATCAAAATCACAACTTGCAGCTGCATTCATCTCCCTTTGATCAGTCACGTCCATTTTCAGCCTGTAGAGTGACTGGTGCCCGTAAAAATGGCAATTAAGGGTGATTTGTTCTTACAAATATTTGAAAACGTATTTGAAAATGTTTCTTGTATAATCTGATAATACGCATGCATCTGTGAGTTGATGAGCCGATACATAAAAAATATTTAGTTAGCAAACTGTAACTTAATTTTTGACTGATTCACTTCCCCTATAGGGTTGTGCATGAAATGCATTGCTTGTCATCCACACCCATAATACATTGCGAACGTCAAAAAGGTTCATTGACCGGTCCAGCGACTCGTTACTCAGTCACAGGACTGCTGGCTGTGAAGCAGAGAGTTTTTCAGAGGTTTCTGCCACATGTAGTCTGATATCGTGCCACAGAAACATTTTCCATTTTGTGCCGCCAACAAAAGGAGACGCCCAGTCATACAGTATCTTGCCAGTAATGTCCCTTTGTGCTGCCAAACACAGGTGCCCGTTTCTGCTCTGTTTTGCAAAGAAAGTAGTTTTGCCACTTCCACAAAAAGCACCCTCTGAATAGCCAGTCGCGTTTCCGACACACACAGACTGACAGACGGCATGTGCGTTGTAGCATGCCGTCTGGGTTTTGGTTTTCAAGATATTTATTGATATTTTTAAGCCTGACATAAGGCCCAATGTCACTCCTTCTAATGTTATGGATTATGTTCATTTGAATGCTTTGCTTGCTCAAATGTCGCCCAGATGAATTACAAAGTTTTACACGTATTTGCATTGAAGTTCTCCGTTTTGCACTGCTATACAGTGCTATATTATCTTTGTTAGTAACCCGATGTATAAGTTTAAGGTCTTACATACAGGGAGGGACGGGTGTGTCCCCCATTTTGAATATTAAAATGTAAACATCTCACGTTCACTGCTGTGAACAGTAAATTTGCTTTACTGCAGGTATCCATGAAAAAATATAATTCCTTTCCAAGAGATACTTGCCTTATTCTATCCGGTGCGATATAAAGAATTTCAGCCTTTACATTATGGCAAGCAAACTACACAAACAAAGGCTATTTATAAATCTCAGCAGGGTCAAATTGAATACATAGACACACCAGTCACTACTAAGATCCTGCTTAAATGTAATCTTTATAAGGGTGAAAACTGAAATTTATGCATGATTAGTAACAAAATCTTCATGGAAAAACTTACAACTGACCCCAGGCCAAATTATACTTTTACCACTTAATACTGCTGGAAAACCTGGAAATTACAAATTTACATAATAGAGATCACCGTTGTAGCTGAGTTTTTCACAAGTCAGCCTTGCGAGGCTGATCACGGGTCACTCTCAAATAACAGTGTCTCACATCAGAATCCTAGACAACACATTAGCTTTTTTAGTGTTCCTGAATACGTTTATCATTTATTTTTGAAACAGGGTTACAGTATTTTTTTGTTTGGAAAAAAAAAATATAATGACTGTAGAATTTCTTCTACCCAGAATCCAGAATAGCCGAATCCACGGAAGTGAGGCAGAAGTTCAAAGATCGCATTCCTGTGGTTGTAGAGAAAGCTCCCAGATCAGACATTCGTAATATTGACAAGAGCAAGTTCTCTGTGCCATCAGATCTGACGGTGGCCCAATTTATGTACATCATACGCAAGCGTATAGAGCTTCCACCCGAGCAACCAATGTTCTTGTTCGTCTCAAAGGTCTTACCGACCACAAGGTACATGTAAGATGGGATTTGACATGTCTAAAGAATTGTTGACTGCCGTAATTTGTGGCAAATAAGAGGGGGCCATGGTGCCCTTCAGCCTTGAATGGTGAAGAGCCTATATCCCACATGAAGATGATCCTGAAGATACATGTTCCTTCCATGTAGAAGTAAACTATTGCATTGGCTCATTGTTAGCTAGCCCAGGTGCATTTATGTCCCAAACGGAATCCAACAGTTAAGAAAGAGGGCGCTCTTTGTGCTTATGCATTATTCATAACTCTGTCTTAGTCCAGAAATGAGGGTGTTCAAATCACTAATGCTTGGCGCCGTTTGGGGAAAAAACTTTGCGCTTGGCTCACTTTTTGTACTTTCCCAAAATTGCCGTCGTGATATAAGCGTGGCATAATTCTCAGCTTAATAAAACCAAACTACTCTGCACCTGATCAGGGCCCGGTTTATGAAAATAAGTCATTAAGTCAGTGCTTTTTCTGTTGGCAGTGCAACGATGGGAGCCATCTATGAAGAGCACAAAGACGAGGATGGATTCCTTTATATTGCATACAGTGGCCAAAACACTTTTGGCTGAGAGGAAACAAGAAAACAATACCCCAACAAAACAAAATGAAAATAGTCATTTTATTCAATAGCTCATGTGTTTTATTTACCCCAGAACAATTCTGGATCATTTCAATGAAATTTGTGTTGGAGGGGTGGTACTAGTCCCAACCTTTGTCGTCCAGTTTTTCCCCAACAAAGTTGACAAAATATTTGCAGAAGACAGGCACTATCAAGACATTCCTTATTCTGCGATTCTAAAACCTCTTTCACTTCCTAAAGATAGGAAGTCCAGCAAGATATGGGATGGAGGGGTACCCCCCTACATGTCCAATCCCTGTACACGCCCTAGAGTACTGTTACCTAACACATCCCCTAGGTGTCTGTAAAGAATTCCGGAGATTCCGATCAAAAGGATGACCAACGCAAAGATGGGGAGGGGTGCTCTCCATCCCATATCTTGCTTCATACCTGTATGTCAGGAAGTGGCACAGAATGTCACCCCCTCCCCGTCCTACATGTCCAATAAACCTGGATCGATCCACACCTGTAAAACAGTTTTTTTACACTGGCGGTGCAATGTACATGTATATTGTATGCTAGCTGTATATGGAACATACATGTTGCTTGCAGAAGTGTGGATGTAACATTAATAGGGATCATTCCTATTTGGATGCCATGTTTTACTTAGATATGTGAATTCAGGTTATTTACTGAGGAATAAAGCAACACATTCACCCAAATAACCTGGATTGTTCTTCTAATTGTTTTGCGCTGTACACTTAAATCCAGGGTGCTGATGACTATACAAGCACACACACATAAGACTTAAAGCTTTCAAGACAGGGCTTGCGGTAACACCGTGTGGATAGATCTCTTTTGGAAGAGGTACGATTCTGATAACCATTGAGTGTAAGTGTGAAATTGACGTTTCGACCAGGGGCCAATTTCATCAAGCTACTTAAGCACAATGTACTGTCCTCCTTAAGATGTTTCTAATCTCAATTTGGCAGCCAGCCAAACTCCTATAACTGACGAAATGGGAGTCAGGAAATAGCTCCACATGTAGCTTTGGTGTTTTAATATTTGGTCACACTGGACGATGATGTCATTGACACGGAGTAACACTGTGTAGTAAACAAGAAAACACAAGCTATGAATATGTGCGCTACAGTATTACTATACAAACATTACACATGTACGAGTCTCTAGTCTAAAATACACTGAGATTCATGCTAATAACTAGTCAAACGAGTACATGTAAATACTGAGCTCACAGAGCCCTAAATATGTCTATTTAACAGGCCTTTAAGTGCAGAAAATAGCCACACACATCCCCATGAACACGTGGATCGCTTGGAGTGTTACATAATACATGTTTGTTGCATCCTTATTTAACATGTCAACATGTGGGTATATAGATGTGTAAACAAGGTAAACTTGACATGAAAACCGAATGTTATAAAGGCCTCTAATCTACTTGAAATACCTCTTTATAAAGAATAAAACTGGAATCAACTTACAGGCAATGCTTCACTAGGCGCTATATACAGTTAGCGAGGAGCGAGAGGAAAATTTGTGCCCTGAAAAGTGGGAAAACGATGCACAAATTCACTGTGAGAAATCCACTGTCTATGGATGAGTGTAAAGCATGGTTCTCAGATTACCGGTCAAAGGAGGGCGCTATTAAGAAATACAGTGGACGCAATGTAAACACAACACACAAAATTTTCCTAAGCGGGAAAAAACTTTGCTTGGTAAACAAAGGTTACCAGCTAAAACTGTATCTGTTTGTCATGCTAACCAAAAAACAGCTACATACAATCCCAAAACAATACACATCTCATGGAGTTTGGGCTGGTTACCTGATTTATCAAGCAAGGTTTTCTCACGCCTAAGCAAATTTTGTGCTTAAGCACCATCTTTAGTCATTATGCATACTTGTTTCATGTAAGTAGTGCGGGCATTTGTTAATTCTCCTGTCGTTAAGGAAATTCGATGGAAATGTTCCTTTTTTTCCCACTAAGATAACTCTTTCCAGGTGGATTTGTGATTGTTTCCCTGAACTTTTCCTCTTCATTTTGTCAACAATAACCTTAACAGCCCATTCAGTTTGAAAGACGTAAAAACATCAGACGAGAGAAAGTATTCAAGTACTTCACCTTTGTGTAAAACAGAAAGCAAGAGGAAGGCAAATCCCATGAAACTTTAAATGTCATGCAGTATTTAGTAGAATATCGTGTATCATTTTATTTAAAAGGAATGACTACCTCATTTACAGTTGTAAGCATTAAAATGAACTATATCTGTATTTCAGGGAAAAATATGTTAAATGTTTTGGGCAGAAGGTTATATAGCTCTATGGGTAAGTGGAAAGATTATATTTTTCATCTGTACTCTCCACAAACTGGTACATTTTCTCGAATGTTTCATAAGAGCATTTACGTGTAAATAAATCAACTTTTTTCGAGTTCTGACTGATGCTTATCTTTTGCCTTGGGTTGCATTATGTGGTTTTTGTGACTGTTTTTGTTTTGAGGGAGGTGAGATTGTTTTCTCCCAAGTCTGGATTTCGCACTTTGTTGCCACTTTCATGATGAGCACAGAATTCGAGCATTATCCGCCTCGAGCATAAGTACCCCCTCATCAGTTGAAAAGAGCCATGTTGGTTGGGAGTGTTCATTTTGTTGTTAGAGATGCGACCATTTCCTTGTTCGTGAACCAGCGCAGTTCAGGTCCGACCAAAGGATGCTCTCTTGCTGAGAAAATAGCGTCCTCTCTTGGTCCAGCTCGTGACCCTAGGGCCAAGTGTGGAAATTGATCCAGAGTGAGGTTGGAATGCATTTCATATGCACACATGTCCGTATAGACCCATTCACAACACAAATAAATTCATAATTGGGCACGCAGGCGCACAAATGGCCTTAGCGGCAAGGGCCATTGAAAATGTACAGGGGTGCGACTTTGATCATTTTCTCAGGATTTCTGGCTATGTTCAGTTTATTTTCTTCAGAAAACATCATTAAAATCGTTTTGCTACTAGTTTGTAATATAAGCGGGACTTTTAGTGCTCTGTAAAAAGACTTTTCCTCCTGTGCGCACAAGACTTAAGCGGGAAATATGCCCGCTTAGTTTAGATGCTAATAGCAAAAACGATATAATGGGGTTTTCTGAAGAGAAAAACGAACAAAGCCAGAAAACCTTTTCTATGAAACAAAGCCAGAAAGCCTTTTTTATGTCCAAAAATCTGGATTATGGACAGACATAAGAACGAGACCAATCATCGGGTTTTTTTGGTCGGTTGACTGGTGGTGCGAGTAGAGGACTGTTTTTCAAGGCCATTTGTGCGCATGCGTGCATAATTATGATCTTATAAGTGAAAAGGTCTATTCGGCCGCAGCTATAAATATTTAGTGTCAACAATCGAGACTGAGGTAGTTTATAACCACAATTCATCCTCGGCATAGTATTGTTTTGTACGTTTGAATTATTTTGGGATGCATCGTAATGATGGCGATTACTTTGGCGCGCATACGTCTTGCTGTGACTTTGGTGTTAAAGAAACGCCTTCATGCAAGCTGATGAAAAAAATTTCTCAGAATTAAAGCCCTCATTAGTTGGACAGCTGGTGACTGGCTTGGCTCTTTCAACTTTGATTATATCCACCCGAAATCACGCTCTCTAAACATTACATTTTCATTAATTGTCATCTGCCTCCACTTTGATTGTTCCCTTCTGAACAAACTGGATGTATGAAAGCAATCCCCATTAAATAACGCAACGAACCACGATAGTTCATTTTGCATTAATGATAACAATACTTTTGGTTTTGATAAGGCAGCTGCAGGTCTCATGCCACCAACTCAAAGGGTTTTCAAGTGCCGAGTCAGGCAATCATGCGGCAGGGACGTACGGCATTAACGAATTGGACCGGGTTTTATTGTGGTAAAAAAAAAAAATCTTGAAAAAACACCCAGATACATTATCATGATTGAAAAAACAAAATGAACTCATGGACATGTCTCTTGGTTACACGAGGCACTTCGGTATATTATCAGGCAATATGCAACTCTCGTAAAAAGTTGGGGTCACGCTTTGTTAAGTTCCACTAAAATGGGGCTCCCGCGCTTACTACGAAAATGCAAGTACGTGTGTTATTGTTCTCTGTTTACCCAGTGTCGCAAAGACTTCAAAATCCCAAAGTCGGTGTTAAAGGGAGGGTAGATGTTAAAAAGACACTCGGCTTCCAGTTATCCGACCTCTAAATCATTAAAACAGAGGAGAGCGTCTTGTTAGGCGCTACATGTCCAATGCAAAGCAGACAGTATCGGACAATTTTAGGCTTGGCATATGCCGTGCGGTTGGATGGCTGAATAAATTAATGAGCATTACTTTTTTTATTACAGAGTTTGTAACGTCCATAAAACTTCCTTCACAAAATTTTCAGAAATGGATTGCTAATACCAGCGCCTTGTATAAAAGTTGCCAACGGGTATACACGTATACGAACGAAATCATGCAAGTTCGCCCAGCGCGAACATGTAGCAAAGGCGGTTGTAGAGGTCAACAAATCATGCCAACTACCAACTAACACGCACGGCTCGGTCATAAAAGCCACGTCTACCATGGCAACGATTAATGTTATGCCGGCTTTGACAAGAGTCAGTTCAGGGAACTGCAAGCGGGACAAATACAGGGTTTCCCCATGATGTACGTGTACTATGATGCCTCCCACGTATTCCTGTTGGAAAGCATCAACAGATTAACAAGCTCACGCGTGATTCAGACATCAATCGACAACCCTCTGCCTTCAGAGTTTCAACGAAGCCTCGGCTATTTAAAATAAACTTTCCTCATCCTTGAAATAATAATGAGATTGATTGATTAATTAACACAATAAATATATTACGAACTGCGTTCTTGTAACGCGGGCTTCCACTATTTATTATTCAGCACCGAAAAACTCAACAGGGCGCACTTTTTGTCACATTTAGTTGCCATAAATGCGGGAAAAGTTTAAATAAAAACTTACGATATTTATCTGCAACTTTACAAAAACTACTTTGTGTATATTACTTATGAAGATAAGTATTTACAAAGGACACTAGTATTGGGAAGCTTATTTCTTGCGATAAAAGCAGTCAGTGGATTAACCGAATAAGAGACAATGTGGATCACCAAGACTTTCATCGCACAAGAGAATGGAACAGTGGAATACCGGGCCACAATCCGAAAAAGTCGAAAATACATTGCATGGCCGTATAGTTGTCAATGGTGAATGTGAGAATTAATTTAATACTGAGTGTCATATGAACATAATAATCGCAAATACATTCGTACCAATACTATGGGGAAAAAAGATCCAACGTTACTTGAAGATGTTGCCCAATTGCCACTGAATTTTGGTTCACACTACACTTTAATTAAAAACAGTGTCTGTGTGATCAATATGACGGTTTCCAAACTCCTGTGATTACAAACTTACATAATAATTTCGGATATAAACATAAGTTATATTTATAACTCAATTAGGGGTTAAGGGTTCCTTAATAGAGGCATAATGCAGGGGGCTGAAGATTTAAAAAGCAAACTTGGGAAAAAGAAATGGATTACAAACGGGAAAACCGGGAACTGGGAAAACACAGCGAAAGCGTTGAATAAGGTGCGCAAAGGTATTAATCTGCTACCCTGCTGCTTCTTCACACTACACAACATAGCATTTGAATCCAAATGAGACAACATTCTATTTTGCAACGGGCAAACGTAAACAAAGCCTTGGTTATACTCCCCTCTAACGTGATACATGGAAAATGTGTAACGACCAATAAACGTTTTTATACACGATTGTAAATCTTTATGGTCGAGTTCGGGCGGCCTGTTCCTGACACGGGTTTCTTGTTCTCGCGCTCGAACGGCGGGAACACGACTCAAGAACACTGTTCTTGGAACAGGATCACACACCACCTCCTCGTCAGGGCTTTACAGGAACACACGGAAAAACTCGTGAGATTTTGATTTTTGAACAGCTGCAAACTCTCGAATAACGTAGCCTACATGGACACCGCCATGTTGCATGTTGCTTGTCACTGACTACCAGCGATAACCAGTTGTTCGTTCCCGGCGTTCGAGCTCCCGACCCACGGATAACAAATCGAGCTGTTCGTGAACATACGAGAACAAGCCGACCGAACTCAGCCTATGCGAAAAACAAACCGCCGGTGGCCTATCCCCAGAGTTGTTTCAGCAGTGAATGGTGGAGGTTTACAGTTACCCTTTTCAAACGTTATTTAGTGGTATTTCATGGAAGGCGCCGTTAACGGTACCATTTATCGCAGCCTTTTGTTTTTCATGTTGACTCCTGCTCATCAACGCGTCCGTTCTTACGGTCCAGTTGAATCCCCTCATGTGCCTTATCTTCAAGCACAGCATGACAATGGCGACCAGGGAAAGGATGAGGAGGAAAGTGACCACGGCAAAAGCGACCAGCCAGGGGAGCGCTGACTCCGCGTTCACCCCCAGTGGTTCGGTAGATGTCAGCTCGTGGGGTTCGTCAGACATGCCACTAAGCGAGGAGGGGGAAAGAAGGGTCGCAGGCCTCCGTGGGAAGGAAGACTCGGTCGGTACTGTCTTATCCCTCTCCTTGGTAGCAGATTGACGTGTGCTAGAGCTGCCGGCTGTGGTTGTGAGGTGCCTCGGTGAAGTGGTCGCTGGACCAGACGTTGGCGGGGTAGCGCTACTAGTTTGCATTACTGTCTCTTGGACTGTGTTAGTCATGTCAGTGGGACCGGGTTGCGGTGTGGTCGGGTTGGGGCTCTGCTCAACGCGGATGGGACCCATTGTGCAATTCCGTCGTTCATCTGGATAGCGAGAGCTGGTGATTTCGCAGATGAAAACCAATTCATCTTGGGATACGTTGGCGGTCCAGTTAGCACTCTGTGAGATTCGGTCTCCATTTCCATTTCTGGACCAAACCAAAGATGAGGGTGCAGAGCCCATAGAAGAGATTGTTAGGTTTACTGTCGGCTGTCCTCTGATCGTTGAGCAAGTCAGCGTTGTCTTTTCACCGATGGACACGGTCAGGGGCCCGTTGGGCGCGCACGCTGGATTCCTGTCATCCGGAAAGGAATACACTTTCAATGTTAATTGATCTGCGTCTATTAGGCCTACAGGGTTCTCAAAGCTGGGTCGCCGGACTAGGCACACGTACGTTCCGTCGTCTCTGACACTGACGTGGGAAATAGTCAAGACGAGAGCATCGTCTAAGGAATGGTCTACTCTACTCGGTAGTGCCTGCGGTGTAACCTCAATTCGACCGTTCGTTGTTAAATCTTGTAAGTCATACTGCCAGACGATTGAGTCTCCTTGCGCCAAACCTCGGACCTCACATCTCAGCGTGATGTTATCCCCCTTCTCGGCCTCAAGGTTACCGGTTCCTGCTACGGTGCCATTCACCACAACTATCTCTGTTTCAACTCCACGAGCACCGCACAGGCCGAGAGCGAAAACACAGAAGGCAAGTCCAAATGATCTGAACGACGCCATTCTACAACTCCACAAACGTTAAGTTCTGGTCAAAAGTAAACTCTTGCAGGGGAAGTCGAAGACTGCTTTTACAAGGCAAATGGTCGATGGGCGAATTCGGTGTTTATATATAGGTATGGAGATGTTGCGGTTCTGAAGAAATCGTTGACAAGGCGGAAAAGTCCCTACGCGTTTCCAGAAAAGTGGCCCAGCTACATGCACTTGCGTGCACGTGTCACCTCGCAAGTATGCAGGCATGTCATCAGGGTCACCGATTGGGACCTTAAAGGGGTTGCTTCCGATTATTGAACCGAATTTGTGCAGTTTATCTTTTGGAGTAATCTGGAAGCGAAAACAACTCTTTGGAGAGGGTCCAGTGTTATGAATGCATTCACCTGATGAAAAAAAAGGCACAATCATTTCACTGAAATTAAGAGTTGAGGTGGTTTATTCCAAGATCCTAACTCTATGCGAGACACGTGAAGTGTACATGTACATAGTGATTTAAATTCACGTAGTGGCCTCGTTGATAAAAATATTTGTTGAGGGTAAATAAATAACAATGAAACTCGGTCGTCAAACTCCAGTTATCATGTCACGGCCACTTCGAGCCTGATTTCGTTGCATTTGCTGGCTTATCTTTCACCGAAGGCATTCAAAACATTTCCCAATAACTCGTATACACCGTCGAAAATATTTACCAGGATGAGATTATCGCCCATTTTGTTTTAATATTTTGTGTTGACGTCATCAACAGAAATAGAACAAAACAGAGCACGCACTGCATGAGAACCACGTGACCACCCAGAGTCTCTGACTGGTGTATAGTTCCCGTGAATCTTCCTAGCTCCGTGTTTGCATAATGTTTTCGGAAAGTGCTAGTACGCGTTGGCAATATACCCAAGTCTCCAGCAACTTAGGCCTATACCTTACGAAAAGGCATTTTGTAAGAAGGTCCGAAGTGATTTGTGATCAACTACTTCGTTCCGAAACACTTTCCTGATATTTTTTTTCTTTAAAATTGTTCAGTGACCAGTTATTTAGTGATTTGTGACTCGTTGACAAATTAATTGGATCTCTCAAAATTTAGAAATTACATTGTTGTCAAATCTAGATCTGTAGAATAAATAGAACGCTGCAGTAGCCGATCGGAGGAGGGGGCGTGCTCGGCGCGCCTCCTCTGCTCCAAAATGTGTTTTTGTTTTGTTTTGGGATGATGTTTTTCTATTTTGTCAGCTAGCTGTTCAATAACTGTTAACACCGAAATTATCTCTTGAAAATATGAGCTACTTGTATTTCACCCAGGTTCCGGTTCACCTCCTTAATCTTGGGGTTTCCCTTCCCTTTCCCAAGTTTGTGTTGTCGCGTGTTATTTTAGGCCCAGGGGTGGGTCGTCCACTCCAGTTTTAATTTGTTTTACCAATAAACTTTCACGTAGGCTAGTCAGATTAATTTTTTTGTTTGTCTGCAAAGAATCATTCATTTTTTAACACAATTTTGGTTTTTCGACTAATGAACGGGAACCCGACCCCTTGATCCGTTACTGCACCCAACCATTTTTACTTGGGCATCACCGCTGTGAGGTCCCCTGTCTCGCTCAAACAAGAAAGGAAGCTTTAAATTATTACCCATCAACAGTCTCGATTTGGGCCAGGCGCGTCGATAGCTGTTTTTGGCACAGTTGCAAAATCGCATTCTGATTGTTGACTTTTTTCAGCGCCTGTTTTCCCCTTTTCTCAGCTCCCTATGATGCTTATATATAATCATCCATGTCGTTCAGACTAGTAGCCTAGTAAGGTAAGCTGCGCGCAGACAACTCAACAATGATTTTTTTTTATCAGAAAAAATACTTTGGTGTTCAGACACGTCAAATTTTAATGCTTATCTCCTCTGTTACGTTTTCTTTTCAGTTTTTGGTGGCTGAGAGGTTTATTCAATCACGTATGTTTGAAAATACGTCCATGCTTTGATGACACCCCCGTAACAGATGATAAAGCTCAGCGCCATTTTCAAGATTGCTGCCCGTAAACTGTTGCGAATGTCGAACGAGCCATTTCATTTGGAGGGTCCCGTTTTGTATGCAAATCTTGGAGAAGCAGAAGTGCTCAGTTGTTGGCTTTCTACCCTTTCCTTTTTAATTTGCATTATTCCACAAACCCTCCAGTACAGTCAGGGCTACAAAACACTCCAAGAATCAAAGAATTTGAGGACATGCACATTGTGATTTGGGCACAAATTTGTGACTTCTTACTGATGATGGCCCGCACCATTATTTTTTTTTTTTTAGCTCGCAACTGATACGTGCCGACGCTGCCGCTGTGTCCCACAGTTCTTGACCTCAGAACGGTCAATGACGCACTCCGTCCCTTTAAAGTTTCTTGGGAGAGGGTGGAGGCTGGCAGCGGGCTTTCATGATCAGGCGACAGTGGAAAAGTTGGAGGGGATTTCCTGCATGGGCCGCTGTCTGTTACACATTACGTTTGTTCATCACGCACAGTTGCGCATCCAAGCCCTAGCCCGGGGGGGGGGGGTACGCTGCTCTCCCCCCCCACAAAATTCCAGTACCCCCAGGTTCCTTTCCCCAACTTGAAATCTAGTGTAATTTGCCACATGTGTCTTTTTAAAAGAACATTTTGTCAGTACAGAAACATGGAAGGAGAGAAGTTTACTTGATTCCAATTCCTTCATCGCCTTGATTTCTGCATGGTTGAAAAAAGAACTCCAACACCCACCCCTGCTTTTCGAGTTTGAATCGCTTTACAAATTGGGAAAAACTTGTATGTGCCCCACTTTGCCCCAAAATGACACAATCTGCGGGCTGACGGAGACGCTGTACTACTTGCCCGACAGTTCTCATTGCTGGGAAGTCCCACTTTGTGCGTGAAAAGTGTTGCTTACGATCTTGTTATTATTAAAATTCCATGCGTAACCGTGTATACTTTCTCATTTTAAATGTTTACTTGCGTTCTAGAAGTATACCGGAGGATGTGCGTGTTCGTGTGGGAAATCCCCTCAGATTCACGCCCCAAAATGACATAATCTTCCGGCTGACGGAGACGCTGTACTACTTGCGCGACAGTTCTCATTGCTGGGAAGTCCCACTTTGTGCGTGAAAAGTGTTGCTTACGATCTTGTCATTATTAAAATTTCATGCGTAACCGTGTATACTTTCTCATTTTAAATGTTTACTTGCGTTCTAGAAGTATACCGGAGGACGTGTTCGTGTGGGAAATCCCCTCAGATTCACGCTATGATTCATTAATGTTTGCATTGCTGCCCTGTCCCAATCTTGCCAAGGAAAAAGTCCTTTTAATACATACCTATATGAATAAATACACGGGAAACTTTGTGGTTTAAGGACAAAATCATTGCCAGCAGATGTCACTGTCCAGTGGCGTAAATTTGTGACGGAAATTGGGGGGCCATGGGCATGAGGGTAGGGGACACCATAGGACAATTTGTGTTAATTTATTTTCTGTTTACGGAAAAGTGTGTGTGTGTGTGTGGGGGGGTTATTCAACAGCCCCCTCCCCCAATTTCCCGCACAAATTTAAGCCTGTGTCCGGGAATGAGGGATATAAATCCCCTCAACTTTTTTTTTGGTGGGGGGAAGGGGACGACACGAAAATTTGAAAAGCGGGGGGGGGGGCTTAGTATGACTCTGGATAGAGGTCTATGTTCGTGATATTGATATACATCTGTAATATGTATTCGAAATACCATCTTTATGGCGTTTTAATATTGTTTCCAATTTTTGAGTGATATTGAATGCATTTTAGTCGTTGGAAGTGTGAAGCATTCTTCACAGTCCACTTTATTTTTTGCTCACCACAAAAGGGTGTGTGTGGGGTAATTCAATACCCCATCTCCTCTCAAAAAGGGGGATATACAACCCCCACCCCGGGATTTACGCCCACCTCATTGTCTGATGTTCTGATAATAACCGGNATCGTAACACCAGTCTTCACCAACGGTCGACTTTGGGTGGCCTGTTCTTGGCACGGGATTCTAGTAAGTTCTCACGCTCGAACGGCGAGAACATGACCCAAAAACTTCCTTCTCGGAAGAGGATCACACACCACCTCCTTGTCAGGGTTTCACACGAACACACGGAAAAACTCGTGAGATTTTGATTTTTGAACAGCCGCTAAAAATAGCGAGATGGCTTACGAAACCACAGACAATGAGACGTTTTGCAAAATTGACATTAACAGAAGTGAATGGTCTTTTAATAGAAAAGAATGAGAAAACATAAACCCTCACATGGACACTGCCGGGGTGAATGCTGCTTACCATATTACCACACGCGCTGTTCACGACACGAGAACAATACGGTAGTTTCACAATAGTGCGCCACCAAGAGTATGCAACGCGTTTGGTCAATCACAATGCGCAAAATTTGTCGACCCAATGCGCGTTTGGAAAAGGTCGACAGATTTTGCGCGTTATGACTGGCCAACGCGTTGCATACTCTCACTATTGTGAATCGCCCGCCCGAAAAAACAGATTGTAGGATTGTGTGGCGCCAACTCTTCACGAGAGGGCGGTAGACAGATTGAGTGGCCGTAAGCCAAGTACATGTACACGTACGCTGTTGTACGCAACCTTGTTC